GTCCAGCAGAGTCAGAGTCCAGCAGAGTCAGAGTCCAGCAGAGTCAGAGTCCAGCAGAGTCAGAGTCCAGCAGAGTCTGAGTCCAGCAGAGTCTGAGTCCAGTGGAGTCTGAGTCCAGCAGAGTCTGAGTCCAGTAGAGTTAGAGTCCAGCAGAGTCAGAGTCCAGCAGAGTCAGAGTCCAGCAGAGTCCGAGTCCAGCAGAGTCCGAGTCCAGCAGAGTCCGAGTCCAGCAGAGTCCGAGTCCAGCAGAGTCAGAGTCCAGCAGAGTCTGAGTCCAGCAGAGTCTGAGTCCAGCAGAGTCAGAGTCCAGCAGAGTCTGAGTCCAGCAGAGTCCGAGTCCAGCAGAGTTAGAGTCCAGCAGAGTCAGAGTCCAGCAGAGTTAGAGTCCAGCAGAGTCTGAGTCCAGCAGAGTCTGAGTCCAGCAGAGTCTGAGTCCAGCAGAGTCTGAGTCCAGCAGAGTCAGAGTCCAGCAGAGTCTGAGTCCAGCAGAGTTAGAGTCCAGTAGAGTTAGAGTCCAGCAGAGTCTGAGTCCAGTAGAGTTAGAGTCCAGTAGAGTTAGAGTCCAGCAGAGTCTGAGTCCAGTAGAGTTAGAGTCCAGCAGAGTCAGAGAGTCCAGTAGAGTCAGAGTCCAGCAGAGTCAGAGTCCAGCAGAGTTAGAGTCCAGTAGAGTCAGAGTCCAGCAGAGTCAGAGTCCAGCAGAGTCTGAGTCCAGTAGAGTCAGAGTCCAGCAGAGTTAGAGTCCAGTAGAGTTAGAGTCCAGCAGAGTCAGAGTCCAGCAGAGTTAGAGTCCAGTAGAGTCAGAGTCCAGCAGAGTCAGAGTCCAGCAGAGTCTGAGTCCAGTAGAGTCAGAGTCCAGCAGAGTTAGAGTCCAGCAGAGTGTGAGTCCAGCAGAGTCAGAGTCCAGTAGAGTCTGAGTCCAGCAGAGTCTGAGTCCAGCAGAGTCTGAGTCCAGTAAGCAGAGTCCGAGTCCAGCAGAGTCTGAGTCCAGCAGAGTCTGAGTCCAGCAGAGTCAGAGTCCAGCAGAGTCTGAGTCCAGCATCTGTTAGACTGAGGCTGACATCTGCACCTGGCCCAGCCGGAGCCTTGATGAGTTCCTAAGTTGTCGAACAAAGAAAGAGAAAGGACAGATGATTTTATCTAAGACGGTTGTGTCTTTAAAGCCATTAAAATAGTTGAAATAAGTCTTTGTGGACTGACTTCATTCTTATCTGTGACTCACATCGTTGTGTCCTTCTTTATCCACAAACACCAGGAAGCTTTGTCAGACCTCTTCAGTCTGTTGATTTAGCACTTTTTGGGTTTTTGTTGTATTTTTGTGTTGCTGTGTGTGTGTGTGTGTGTGTATTAGGTTAGCAGATTGAGTTGCAGCTCATTGTTTGTAGAGTGTAGGTGTCTGTGGAGCTGACCTTATCTCACGTCATGTTCTACAGTTTCTAAGAGTTTTCCTGAGGCCGGTCTCATTTCCCCGACACTCCTGCTTTTTGTGTTAATAAAGACGTTTTGTGTTTGTGTTTGTGTTTTGTTCCTGGTTTCTGAGAACGTGTCAAGATGTTTGTGTGAAGGAGAAAGGTTCTGGTCCAGAACGGTTTGTTCTGTGGTGGGTGTGTCTGTGTCTCCTCAGCACAATAAACCTGTTTAATTCTGATGTCGTCAAACTCTTTGTTCATCTTATGACAGCACGTCTCAGTCTTATCACCTGCAGCTACTAAACACATGATAAGGGTTTTACCCCGTGTCTCTGTTAGTAAAATATCCCATGACCCACCAGGAGGATCTGAATGAAACCATGGCTGGATTTACTGGTCCAGTTCTGGAGCCAGCTGGACTCAGAAACCACCACTGACTGAAACAAGAACTTCTCCTCAGAGAGTAAAACATGAGTTCATTAGGAACACGTGCTTCGTTAACTTCAACAGTTTAAATAAAGACAGTTACAACAGGTAGAACA